CATAACGAAAAGAATTCTCAGTTGCAATCCTATGAATCTAATCTCACATGTAAAGTAGGCACATGTAAATTCACGTTTGACAGAAGCTGAGGAGACTGATGTGGGGTTCTCTCAATCCCAATGGCACACATGTTCTTGTAGAGTAAACACACAAAGAAAGAGTACATGCACACACACAATCAAACTGTTCTCACAGTTGTTGGTGCAGAACGCTTCAATCCAAGAGTGATTTGAAAATGGGATTGTGTGTGAACTGGCAAGTAGCGATGAGTGCTGTGTCTCATATTTCCAGCAAAAACCCAATGTTTTCTGTTTCTGTCCAAAACAGCGTGACCAGCATGATGGTCTGCAAAAAGGAAACAACCACAGCACAATGTCAAATTCTCCAAAAGGTCTAAAACTCCTACAACTAACCCTAAAACTTGCAATCTGCTAAACAATATGTGGACATTATGGATTTAATGGAACAAAGACCACGTTTTGAAAGAACATAAGCATTTAACTTTATATTAATCTTTTTGGATGCAGAGAGTTAAGTGATACATTCCACTTTGACAACCTTTATGTCATCTTTTTTGCTCTATCCAGGGGCCGTTTAGACCGATATGATTACTTCTGACATCTGCCAATGACACCTGATTGTGTCTGATTCAAGTTCATCTGATAATTTCAACACATCTTCACGGTTAGAAAATATCAAAATGCTCCAGTGGCCTTCAGGAGCAGAATTTTTCATTCTGCTGTTGGCCAATTTTCCCTGCTCAGGCCTACACCCGAACACTTAACCGTTTCAAGACACACTATAACAATGTGTTTCTATTGAAGCACATTAATCATGTATTTGCACAAATCTACTAAATAATCTTCATGTAGGCAAGCAGACTAAAGGAACACGAGGCCATAAAAATAAGGACTCACTTATTCACAGTATTTACAGCTCATACATTGGACAAGACATCATCTTAGCCTGGAGCAGTTGCTTTAAACTATCATTATAACTGATCCAAAGCAGAAAAACAGGGTGCCCAATAGAAACACATCCCCTCCACTTCTGATACCTCCGAGAACAGTTAACCAGAACCCTAATATCCAGGAGATTTTATTAGGCCAGAAATGCTACAGGACCCCCGGTTTGCCTGTTGGTGGTGCCATGAAAAGCTGCACTGAGCCTCAGCGTGTTACCCCCCCTGAGAGCCTGGTCCTTTTTTCTGTCAGCACAGCTTCGGTCCACAGACCACACTAACAAGCTAAAGCTCAACGCTCGTCAGAAATGGAAGCATTTGGACACCCACTAGAGGCTTGAAAAATGCAGGTTGTTGGTGCAGCCCTCGACTTGGACACAATAATTAATCTTCATATCGATCTACCCTCCTGACTTCTGTTGGGACAAGTACAGAAAGCATGACTGAGAAGCTCCAGTATGTTTCAGCCGTAGGAGAGGAAGACTGGAAGAAGTTTCTCCTCAGCTTTTCCTCCCACCCAGTCTCACAAACATACACACACACTTTATCATCGACCTCGCTGTGACTCAGGAGACATTTTATTTGTCTACAAGGGATAAAACTAAGCAAAAAGACATAGATATATATAGAATAAGTGGATTATAGGCGCAAGTTCCACATAAAGCACAAAAAAAGGGAACCAGATAAACTTAAAAGAAAATGACAGCAAGGTCAAGACAGTGAAGAGGACAATTTTGAGCAAAAAGAAAACAACAATGCTAGTGCTTTTAGCCCATTTCACCAAAGAGCTATAATATTTGACAAAAGCCCTTGTTTGGGACATTCAGGTTTCAGGATCTGCTCTATTTTCTCTCCCCCAATTTCTCTGAAGCAAAAGAAGAGTTCAGATGCTCCCCTGACTCTCCCTCCTGCACCAGCTTCTCGTTACCATCAAGCCCCCTCAATGACAAACTACCCACCAGGTCTCTGAAATATGACCCATAAAGCCCAGTGCCACAATAAACCCAGAGCCATGGCTGATTTGTGAATCCAATTACCTCCCTGTCTGTAATGGCTGTGTTCAGTGCCATGATGTTAAGTCAGCTGTTGTCAGCATATGCCCTTAAGACCACAGCCTCCACAAGGAATGACATTCAGCATCTAGGAGAGATCATCTAAATAACCATCTTGATGTATAGCGATACAGGAGGGTGGATGGGCTGTGGGAAGCCAACAACAAAAGTGTAGTTTGCTGGCACAAACACCGAAAGAGAGGTCAAACAGCATTTAAAGATATAGACCTATACTGAATGAGAAGACTTGCTGGCAGAGATTGCTGGAAAATAATGCAGGAAAAGGAGCTAGGGGCAGAGATCTTGGGGACAGTTACATTGCCCCCCCCCCCCCCGTGATGCTGTAAAATAACTCCATCGACAGATTATTTCTCTTAAACTGTAAAACTGCCAAAGCTATGTCTGAGGTCATTTAGAAGAGTCGCCATCGCATAGTTTGTCCCCCAGAGAGTACTGGCAAGTTTATTTTTAAAGTTATAAAATGTCCTACTCAGCCCACTGTGGTCACATTTCTTAAAAGAAAAAAAAAAAGTAGGTTTATGTTATTAGTTAATTAAAAAAAAATGAAATAGATAATCTGCTGATTTTCCTACTTTGATTTGTTTTAACTCTTAAATGTCAATACCAGTACTGCATCAACAATATTGTACCTTTGGGGCTATACTCATACAAGAGTGTACCTTTATAGGATAAGAGAGCAGAATTGGGAAGGGGGCACACGGACTTTAACAAAAGACATTGTGATTAGACATTTAGCATCTTAAACAAAGGCATCTGGTCACCAGGATGAACCAGTATGAGCACTTTTTGTGTATAGAAAACTGCAATAAAAGATCCTTATGCCTTGTTCTCAAAACATGTGTGGTTAGCATGCCTAACGGGCCCGTTCACAAATACGGACACAAAAACGGGACCAGGCGTTGCAGACCGCTGAGTTAGAGATTTATAAGGCGATCAAGCAGCACTACAGGGGAAAGTTGAGAAAATGCTCAACTTTATGCTAACGCAATGCGAGCAACAGCCAGGCAACAGCTAATCTGTCTATCACACCTTGATAGCCAAAATAAAACAGAGCTAGTTGCTCATGTACTAGGTTTGCTTTTTGTGTGAGGGCTGCTTAAAGTGCACTCCATTTCCTCACAGTTTTCCAATGTTTGCTGAAAACATTTTTCATGTGAAGCATGCAAACCGAAAGAACAGGTGCAGCAGCATTTCACTTAGCTCTAGCCATCATTTCCCTCAGTGTTTCCTCCGAGTGCCTGTTTCACATTATCCCTCGAAAGTTGACACTTTCCTTAGGGGTGACAGGGTAATTTGAGCTTCAGCGACAACTACTAGTGGTGCTTTTCTAAACATGGGTTAATGAACAGCAAGAATGTTGCTGTGTTTTTAAAGAAAACAAGACTAATGGTGCACTGATTGATCAGTTGTTCACATTAAAAAGAAACTACTTTTTTATAGAGTAACCATCTGGAAAGTATTCTATAGATGGCTAGCTGGCACACAGTGCTTGTGGAAATAGGTGGACAATTAATTGTTAATCATAACTGTAAACTGATGGAAGTCTAGGATGACTTGAATTAACAATGCAATGAGGGACTATCCACCACAAATGTTCTATTTTGGGGAGAACAGGATAACAATAACATGATTTCAGAAAGAATTATTTCAAATTATTAACTAATAAACAATATAGATTTATTAACATTTTATTTCTCTAAAATACCATAAAAGATCATGAAAGTCTCTGGTTTTTAATTTAAGTCATTCATAGGGATGTCCTCAATTCAACTCACCACGACCATGCCACTGGGAGAGCTCTTAAGTTCACCAAAGGCTGACCTCAACTGGCATTCCGATGGTCCAAAATAGACAGAGCTATAATTCAAAGAATCTGACTGAAAACTACACCCCATTCCCCGGTCAAAATGTTACACTGGTGTTGTATCATCCTCCCATAAATGCTGACCTCCCATTCCTCAGAAAGAGGCACAAAAAAAAAAGAGCTACTGAACTAATATTGGCCAGTAAGATGTGCTGAGCGCAGAAAAAGCCTTGCATTTATCCAGCAGCGGGGGTCTGACTTTAGCCAGACTCAGTGCAATAAACATGCAAGTACAGGGCTTCCTTTGAGCTCAAACACCAAACCTTTCAGAGCTGTTCCAATGTCATTTGAGATAGGGTTTTTCCTCCTGTGCTATGAAAGGTTCTACACAGTGGGGATCTGTGAGAGTGTGAGTTTGTTGATGTAAAATGGAAATAAACACCCCAAACAAAATTGACCACAAAAAAAATGTTTCTTGCTAATGGAAAATTCCTGGGTTACCCAAACACTTCCAGCTTTTCCACAGAGGGCGAAGTTACCATCTAAACATGGTTCAGAATATGAACTCATTAGTCTTGCAGATATATTCGACCAACTAACCCATGAAAGCACTTTCATTACTTTTTCTCTTACTACATTTCACTGAGAGGCAAAATGCCCTCATAAGAATACAGACAAACCATTTCTCCATTTATAATGCATTCATGGTTACATTCTGTCCATCCATTGTGGTACCATTTTGTTTTCATGCCCCCCCGCCCCCGTCATTCCTTCTTCCCAAAGTAAGAGCCATATAAATCTGGGCTCTCAGTCTCTATTACAGTAGAGTGATGGCTGCTTTCCAGACAAGCAATCTCCGTGGACACCCCTGTTCTCTGGTCCAAATCACTGAACCACGGTCTAAGCTTTCCCCATTTTCTCTATGGGGGAAATGTTCAACATATCAATGTTTGGAAGAACAGATTTACACCGAGAGGGTGAACTTCTGGACAGCCATATATTAAACAGCAGCAAAAGTGTGTCATTTCCTGCAACAAATTTGGTTTCCTGACAAATAAACCCTCAGTGTACACAATAGCAAATTTTTATGATATCTAAAAGATCAAAATCATGCGAAAAACATTCAAAACAAAAAGTCAGATTTAGTGGCTCAATATATCATCCAATGCATAGGAATAAAATTTATTGTAATACAATCTCTGAAGCAGCACTGGGCACAGATACTTGAGAGATGTAGCAGCAGTAGTGTCCAACATCCCTCTGGTGATCCATCACGCCATGTGTCAGGCTGCTTTCAATTGTTTCCCTTGGCACTGCTGGTGAGGGAAAAAAATGCCACCGTAAAAACATAAACTCCAGTTCATTCTGTCTCTTGAGAATGCCACGGTGCAAGGTAGGTGCAATATTTCTATGACTGTTTCACCCAGAGAGTTGTCCTCTCCCATCCCTCAGTGCACTGAAGTGGAACAGTCGAGGAGAGAAAGCTACAGGTATGTCTGCACATTAAAAGTGACAACTTTGGATTCCCTCATTACTAGAACACATACATTAACACAAGTCCTGCTGGTTAGCCAAGATATACGTATTTAATTTCTGGAGTTGTAAATATCAATCAAATATTACTATCAACGCTGACACTATGTCTGTAAAGGTTCTCAGTAAGGGTGCTCCGATCAATCGGTCACTGATTGTAATTGGCCGATAATGGCTTTAACTAGTCTGATCGGTGGTCGCTAAAAAGGCCGATAAGAAAAGTCAATCAGATGATGCAATACTAGCCAGACAAATTTTCAACGGCAGCTAAAATGGTTTCACTATGCGGTCTGAGCAGTTTTCAAAGCTAGCTAGCACCAAAGTCCTTTTCAGACAGGAAGCGATTGGTGCGCCCAGTTAATAATTTACAGGAGCGATCATGTGAAACTGTCGCGGTCGTACTCATCTCTCACACAAACACACACACCACCCGCAACCGGAGTTTTAATTGTCTAGACATTCAGTGCATCAGGTAAAGAGACACTGATCCTTCAGTGTGAGTTTCCTGATGCAAAGAGAGGCGCCACTCAATCAGATGACTGCCTTTCTCTCTCCGTTTTCTTTTTAAAACTGGAGACCTTTTGCTACGTTTCCGCCTCCCACATTAAAACGGCGAACCACAAGATGTTTGTTTGAAAAAGCTGCTGACCAAGTGGGCAAAAACTATAAAACGGCGACACACATTTGGCTTTCTGATTCGGTCTTATCAGTGCCAAGCAAAACACGATGCTACTGACAGACTTTTAGTTTTTGTATTTTTATTAAAATATACGTACTGTGTAAATAACACTTAACAGTTAACCTACTGTTGTCAATGCAAAAAAATACCTGGTGTGTTTAAAAAACCTACTAGTGTGGATGTAGCCTCTCATTACCCCACTCCTTTCTCTACTCCTCTCATGTCAACTCTCCCGTTTTCCCCGGGATTCTCCCGTATTTTCCCGTTCTCACCCGATTTCCACCTGTTTATCTCTCTCCTCTGGTAAAGCAGGTGGCAGTAGGCCTATGTAAAAAAAGATGTACACTGTGCTTCTTGCACAAGGATTAAATAAATAAAAACAATCCACTGAAATGATATAAGGCCTATAGCCTGTAAACCATATGAAATTATAATGAATATAGTAGTAAAACTAGAAGTAATATTAATAATATAATAACAGTATAATATGGAATTAACATTGTACTTTTATTATTTAAAATGTCCCTTATTTTCAAATGTCATTGATGACAGTTAAGACTCCTCTCTGTAGCCTACTCTCCCTCTCTCCCCCCTAAACACAGAACCTGCCTGAGCTTTCCAGAACAAAAAGTGGCTACTTCAGAGTTTATCAGACTCATGATGCCTGCGCTCCTTTATCTCCTAAATATTTTGGTTACAGCCTTTTCTGTTGGAGTTTTTATAGTTGAAGAAAATGTATGAAGATGCTGTTTGTTTTGTTTTTGTACTTTATTCCACAGGAAAGATATATATATATATATTTTTTTTTTGTTAAGCTATAAGGTAAATAGATTATTATTATTAAATAAATATACAGTATACTGTATATGCTACATGATAAATAAAAGGCTTCAAATAGACCCAGTGATCGGTATCGGCAGATACTGCTTTCAGCAATCTGATCGGCCCAAAAAATACTAATCGGAGCACCTCTAATTCTCAGTAACCCAGCTCATAAGATATCTGCAAGAACAAAGCCAAAAGCAGCCCGACTTGATTTTTAATATAACATATGTTTTGGTAGTCATCCAAGAGTTATGCTGTTCTACTTTCCGTATAAATCTTGAATGAGCAGCAAAATGTGCTCTAGACCAAACAGCAGGCCAGTCAGTTTGAGCCCGTACATCATGAGTCTGCATCTATTTAGCATCAACATAAATCAATCACATCAAAAGGAAACAAACACCTATGTTATATTCATGAGTAATTTCAGCCTTGTAAACCCAAGATAATCTACTTTAGTACTGCAATGATTGGCCGAATAATCCATTCGTTTATTGAAAAGATGAATATGCAACTATTTTGATAATCAATCACTGAAGTAATTTTTTCCAAACAAAAACATTCTAGTTTCTGAAATGTGAGATTTCGGGGCTTTTCTTGGTCTTAATGTTATGGTGAATTGAAACTTGATGACATCTCCTTGTGCTATAGGATACCGTGATGTTTTGTGATTATACTGACTTTTACTGACTAGGCTAAACACTGGCAGATTAGTCAATAAAGAAAAATATTGTTAGTTGCAGCCCTAATCTACCTAACAAACAGAGACATAATTAAAATATGGATTATTTTAACAATAACACAAGACGTTTCTCACCCAAAGTACCAATGAAGAACGTAATTCTTTGCCCACAGTTCATTTCACCTGCTTTAAGAGTTCACTGCTCAATAAAAAGTCATTAAAGCTGACACAGCTTAAACTCTAAAAGTCCTAGTTAAAGAAACAAAACATTATTAAAAGTCCAAATTAACCAAGAAAAGGACTAAGAAAAGGCAGTTTAAAAAAAATAATAAAGTTCAGTTTAAGCTGTATGTCACTGATTACTAGACAAAATACCCCCCCACAGATTAAGTGACTCAACTAGGGCTGATTTAACCTAAAATTAAAATCATGATTAATTGAACATTTCACCTCGATTTTGATTATTTTGTTATTAAATGTTGTTTTTTTGCCCTCATATTTCACTGACAAGGTTTATAATGTAAATATGCTCAACTATTAAAGCTGGCTTTATTTATTCACAGATTTCACAAATCCATTAAGCTATCTATTAATAAGGTAATGTTGACATACACATTACAGAGACATGGTTCTATAGTCAGCGCATCGGCGCTGTTGAATTATGACTGCTGCTACATACATGAACACACACATTACCAGGATTAAATCACCTAAATAACCGACATGGGGAAATTACGTAGGTTAGAGTCTCTGAATTTCGGTTTTGATTACTTTTCAATTAATTGTCCAGCCCTACTCTCAACCCACATAAACATGCTGTGTAAAATGTGCAGATTGTGAAGCAGCCATATAATCATTACAGAGACAAGAAACTACTTTGTGAATCCAGAATTGGCAAGTTTGCTTCACACTCAAGACACAGGAAAACTTTGTAGACAGAACGTAAACTTTCCTGACTGAGTGCATCTTCTCATGGTGAGTCACATGCCATGTTGAGTTTGAACAGCACTATAATTAACTGGCTTAAATGGGCTGAAGTGATTCAGCACAAGTGAAGTGGGGGGTTCCTAAGAGCATTGAGCAAGAAACAGAAATTTGTGTTTTTAACTGGCAGGATCTCCATCTTAAACATGGCAAATAGACAGCATCAGATGTAGAATGCCTCCAATGTTTGTTTTACCTTACTCCAACACACATGGGACTACAGATTATACAGAACGTTCGAACCAATGTAGGAGACTGAAGTTCTCATTATGTGTTTTTGAAAGAAGATCTGAAGATGTATAAAAAGTTGTACAACAACTCCCTGGTGAAGAGCATAATCCCGCTTCTTCAAACTGCTTCTCTATTCTCCGCTGCTCAAAGGGACTGTCAGCAGGGTTTAACACAGCAGCACTGCAGCCACAAGCCCGTCTCACACTCTGCTCATGTACGGCAAATGCAGAATAAGGCTGATGGCTCACTTCATCTTTTCATGTAGCTCCTGAATATGCTGTTGCACAGTCCTTAGCTCCAATGTCAAAGTTCCCTGCGTGGTTGCTTATCATGAATGTGATTAGAAATGAAGAGCTCTGTCAGTGATATGGTTGGAGCCCCTGGGTTGGCTGCCTTCAGGCTGCCAAGCTCTCTTAGCTACTCAATACCAGATGGTAGGTTGAACTGCTGTTGCTGCTGCCGCCGCCAACACTGCTGATTCTCACAGGGATCTTCCACACAAGCTAATATACTTTTCTTCAACCTGAACAGATTTTCGCCTCACTTTGACGTTGGGGTTGTAATTCAAAAGCTGAACAATTAGACCAAGTCAAATACATGTGAGCATTTAGGAAGAGTGGTGAGGCAATGAAACAATCAAGTTATTACACCAAACAGTCTTAAACATCAGTCCAGCAGATGGAGTGCTGGAGTCATAGTGTCACATGAAGGAGAATAACTTGACACAAGCAGCCAAACATCTTGTAAAAAGAGATGTGAAGAAGAATCTACGTCGCTTCCCCACCACCGGGAGCTTTGTTAACTGTTGAGTTGGGCGGCTGGTGTTTCATGATGGAGATTGGAGGATAAAACAGCATTTTTTAAATGTGCTATCCACAATTATGGATCACTGAGGACTTTCTCCTTAACATAGATTAAAACATATCACAATCATTTATATAAATGAACGTCCATTACATTAAAGTCCTTGACAAACGAGTTCACCCAACGCTGATTAAGCCTAGAGCTCAATCTCCCTGTATTTGGAGAACACTGGGCTTTTTAAATCTGCACTGCAGGTTTAACAGTATCTACAGCTACTTTTTGCCCCTGAAAGTAAACAAGAGCGATGGTGAAAGAAAAAACATGAAACTTATTTTTCATTATTTTCTAAGAGCACATTACAATTTATTCATTACCAAACACAGATGGGTTGTAGCAGTATTGGTTAATATAAACAAATCAATTGTCAATCCGCAGTGAGCTGATATTTACACAATTAACGTTAATAAGATGCAGAATATTACTGAAGAATACTGCCCATCAGTGCAGCCAGGTTCCTTTGACAACAAGCATCAGCATTGTCCCAGCAGTACCATTTTACTCATTACCAAACGCAGATTGGTTGTAGCTGTATCAGTTAATACAAACAAATCAATTGTCAATCCACAGAGATCTGACATACCACTCGTGCTCATAAGACAAGTATAAGCTGTCATCTTTGCAGTAAAACCATCAACATATCTTTTAAAAAGTGTATTATATCACCACAACTTCATCTCTGCATTTGGATATGCACAACACCTTCAGTCATCAGTGTGATCAGTGGTGGTAAGCTGAAGAAAATTAGAGCAGGACATAGCAGGGTTTATCACAACTTCATAAGCCACATAATATGGCCACATCTAGAGGGAGACTGATATAAAAACATTCAGGGCTTACTGTACTGACAGCTATGGAACTCTAGTGGAGGCATCCAGGGACATCTTTTTGTGGGAAAGCATTGCCATTTTAGCAGAAAAATGCATCGTCTTTTCTGGACTGATGTAAACTCTACCACAAGTGACTCATCTGGTCACCAGTGTCATGAGAATTCTCAATACACAAGCAGCAACTTTAAACTGAAGGAAAACATGTATTGGACTAGACTGAACAAAATATGGAATATTAATAGATTAACTGATCATCCTTCAGGGTAATTCTGTATCATTCTGTATCTGAATATCAATTTGCGGGGTGTGGGGTTATTTAATCTATCGAGATGTTTTCAGAATAAGTGAAAAATAAAAGTACAAATAGGCCAGAATCATATGCAAAATCTTTTACGGTTGTAATCTTTACATGTATGCATTTGATTTTTCATAGGTATCTTTGCAGCAGTGACCATTCAATGTACATAAACAAAAGGTTTTCCTTTGACTCAGTCTAAATGCAGAAAGAAACTGCTTGCTGGAGGAAACGCTGGAGACGTCGTTACAAATGATTTAGCCTATCTGACATTCCAGAGGCCTAACATTACTAGACTTGAACAATGCTGTTGATTTCTGTCCTGTCCCTCATCCTTCAGTGTTGCTATAACATACAAAAAAAATGATGATACAGAATCTCTTCAAGCTCTCGTTTCTTTTTTACATTTGCCATATCAGTGGTGAGAGTATGAGCAGGAATACCATAACTAGCTTGGTATAAAACAACCAACACACTGCCAAAGATTTACATGTGGAATTTGCACTTTTGAGTTTAAGCACAAAACTTGCCTTGTCAGTAAGCTAAAGAGCTCCCTACCTGTCTGTCAGCTCAGCTTTGAGCAGTCAGGTGACAGCAGCAGCGCAGAATACCAATGGGCAGGCTGAGTCAGTGAATAGCTCTGGGAGTTTGTCACAAGCACGGATGAAAGAGAAGTTTTCAGAAGCGACTGCCTTTTCTTTTCAGGTGAAGTGCTTGTGACTGTCATTGTAACACAAAGACAAATAAATTAGCTTGGAGCGTTTGTTTGTCCTGGTCTTGGATAAATTTAACTTTATTTAAATATCCACTGCTTGTGAGCGGGCATGTATTACTTTCAGCTTTGAGTGATGCTCACTTCTGAATTTATAGGCACCGCAATGATTATTATGTTGATTCAGTCCAGCAGAAAAATCAGTCCTGTGTTCAACATGACATTAGTCTCAATCAAAATAAACACAGAAGATTTGGATTTGGTGGTGGGGGGTATTACAGTCACAATGCAGTATTTGTCAGGGTAGAAATGTATGCTTTTGAAGTGCTGAGACAAACTGTGAGCATCCTCTATTTGGCTGTATTTTAAATGACTAAAAACAAACAGGACAGTTTCCAGTGATAATGGATTCCCCACTGCCAATTCTGAGGGTCTGTCTCAAACATTCCTTTGCCAAAGTCAGGTAGGTGGTTTCACTAAATCTGACATTTGTGGGTCATCTTCACTTTGTTTTGTTTCTTTACTTTTTTTCTTCTCTCTTGTCACTTTCGTTTGTTGTCCTCGACAGCTACGGCTATGAGCATCCCACTTGGTAACCACAAATTGTCGTGCATGAACCAATTAAAATTTGAGTTTCCAAAGATGCCACATTTCATGTTCTCGTACAGTAGTCTGCTCTGTATTCAGTCTTAATTTGTTCTGCAGCACTACCATCCTATGCCAAAGAGAGCTGAAATATTTAATCTCCTTCTCAAGCACTCTACGTACAACCCTTAAATCTCTCTGACAGATCTGAGTAAAGTGCCCCCCTCCCTCTTACCATTAAAGGCAATCTAAAAGATGCTCTGCCGATTGATCAGAGAGGGCTAGTGCAGTGTGGAGGTAAATGGCTGCCACAGGGCCTGATGGACCTTTCCTCTCCCAGTGGTCATAGGGAGGCACTCGACCCCCATTCACTCAATTTGATTCAAAGCATGTTTGTGCCCCTGGAAGGGAAGGAAATAGGGGGAGAAGGGAACTGATCTGTTCTGTCTGCGCAAGATAAACAATGGAAAAAGGACAAGAAACATATTTTCATCCAATGGACAAAAGGTAATAGCTTATTTCTTCAGTCATGAGGTCCTTTCTGTCTTGAACTACATATTTTATTATACTACATGCTATATTTTGAATTCTGAACAATTATGCACTGAAATGATTCTAAAGAACTGAACAACCTTTAGCTAAAATTAATTAAACCTCACTTTGCTAAGACAAAGTCTGCTTCTGAATGGTAAAAAAAGTATATAAAGAATAATGTTTTCTAACTTTCTAAGATATGGAGGTGGGGGATAAGAAAACAAACTGGTTGCAGCTGTTTTGTTAGTCAGTCACTGCATTGGCAAACTGCTAATTAAAGCCATGAGACTCATCTTTGACAAGTCACTGCTTTTATGAGCAAAAAAGGAAAGTAGCAATTAGGCTAGGAGCACAAGACAACAAAAAAGCTGTGGGACATCTGAGGTAAATTTACCATGACTATCAACAGAGGAAGCTGGTGAACAGAGTGCCAGAATAACGCACAGTAAGCAGGTTAATGCTGGAGTTCAAACAGCATCCTCGCTTAATTAGATCCTGTGAGCCCAGAGAAGATGTCCCATTTAAATCCAGCTATTTATGCGTTGTGGCGATTCGGGAATAAATGACACGGAAATCTTAATAGTTGGACGTTGCAGCAAAGAAACCAAACAACTTATATCTGCATGACAGGCCTATCGACTACAATGTCACTCACCAAGCTCGATTAATTCTGCCCAAATATAATAGAGCCCGGATTTAATAGCATGTGAAAAATATGTATTTTAATAAAGGGATCCGGCGTCAGCGCGGATTCTGAAAACTTCATCCATAAAACAGCTGCAGTAGGCGTGTGTCAGTCAAGATAATAGCTGCCGCTCGTGGCTATTGTCCTGATAAGCAAGAATAAAACGCGTGCAGGAAATCACTGTTGATCATTTACCATCATATAGCACACCATTAGGCTACATATCAAATGGTGAGGCATGCGAAAAATCAACCCTACCACACTGGAGAGAGGCAGCACAGCTCTTCTTATGCGGTGTCAACAGCTGGTGAACGCCCGACAATTACGGACTAAGCACAAGCAGGAAAATCTCTCAGATCGCTGTTAATAACTTGTATCAAACAACGCTGGGATGAGCGATAAAAAAATGTGGCAAAACGCCACATAACTCGCGCTGTAACAGACGTCCAATGATACACTGTAGCCCGTAGCGTATAACGGATACTCGCTGTGTTGCGTGGACCAGAAAAATAAATTTAAAAAAACATCTCCGCTGTCAACCTAACCGAGAGAAGATACCGTGTAAATGGGGATAAAACTTGTACCTGTGTACTGCAGGAGAAACATTGTCCACGGAGGGCGAGGTGCGATTCCTGTCGGTCCCCTGCTGTGTAGGACGAAGTGCACGAAGTAAAATCCTTGAATGGAGACAGGGCTGTCCCTCAGTCAGTCCGCTCCACTCGGCAGACTGGACTGCAATGAGAGCAGCACAGTCGAAGCGGGACCTTTTAGCTACGGCAGGCGAGCCCGCCCTCACGACGTGCCCGGTTCGCGCGGAGAGGCAGACTACCAGTTCGCTTCAGATGCATGCAGGCGAAGTGTTCGGGCTATGTCGACGGGCGCTACAGGCAGCGACAAAAACTCCTGCTCTTATTATTCGTCCTCTGGTCCGCTGCGTGGAAGCGAGCTCAAGCACCTGAGAAAACTGTCAAGAGAGGATGTCGTTGTCGTGTAGAGCTACAGCCAAGCTACGACCCCCCCAGCGGGCATTAGGATTTTTAAAAGGCGCAGCCAAACGATAAATGCCCCCCCCAAAAAGGCCGGGTAATTTCTCCAAAACTTTTGACAGCTATGGTTTTAATAAGGTGTCATTCTGTAGCTTGCCAGTTGGAGGAGGAGAAGCATAGAGATGATCAGTTCATTACTATTGCTTAGCAGGCATACTGTGATGAGGCATTCCTGTCACCCCTCCCAGGCTCCACACTGTCTGTTTTCAGATAAATACAGTAAAACAGTACTTGTTGTAAGTGAGTATGATATGTATTAAATTCTACTCATTTAGTTGCAGCTGTGTTCTCTGTAACAGAGACTCAAGTGAATCAAAATAGTAAGACCTTGTGACGTCCAATGACCATTTGTTAGCTCAAATGAGAATAGTTCCGCCAGGTTTCTACAGTGGCTCACACTGTTTCCATGATGGTACATGACTAAATATTTGCTTAATCGGTTCACGCTGTCAACAGTAAATATGTTTTAAAAAATGACGGAGGCTTAAGGGTGCGTGAGTACTGTCTTGGTTTGATCAACACACTGCCAAAAGATTAACTGCACAAAGAAAAAGCAGAACAAACACTATTATGCTTCCTAATTAGACAAAGCTGTGTACAGAGGCACAAAGAAAATGGCATGAGAATGATATCAATGTATCACTGCGGTGGTCAGCGGAGTCATTTATTCCTGATGTCAT